TCCAACTGGAACTGGAAGTTAATTCAGGTTCATACCTTCAACCCAACTCAAGTTAAGTTGCAGCACTAGTTATTTAGGCAATTGTGGGAAGCTAGCTTTAATAGAAATAATGTTTTGGTAGCTGGAAAAGTTACTCCAACAACTGTCCAAGACATACAGAGCAGAAACAAATTAAAGGGGCTATATATTCATATATCTCATTTAATAAGGGCGGCCCGTTTATCCTTGTTACTGTTTTTAGAATGAAAACTAGGTGAGAACAGCTGCTCCCTTTAGACTTCATTTCATCAGTATGTAATTAAAATGACGAAAATGATGGAGAGGTGGAGGGGCTCGTGAGGATGGTGTACGTTAACTTGTTTGCCAACTTGGATCGATCTATATGCAATATTGCATGCATGGCATGGCATGGCATTCAAGGCCCAATGTATACTGAATTAATAATATGTACTCGATCTAATCAGTAGTTATGAGGGGGCATGCATGCATGCATGGGGGACAAAACTGCACGAGAGTCTGTAATGTATGCATGCATTCATTAATGAGGTTGAGACAGATATTACATCGTGTGGGGGATTAAGTTTAAGCCGGTACAGGCCTATTCTCCTTTTCCACCTCTATATATCTATTATCTTCCTTGATACTACCCTACTACTCTACAGAGCCTCGATCAGTCGACAGTCCCCCAGCACAGCAGGTACACTACTTTTCTTCCTTACATTATTTTCTTTTCTCTTCTTTTTCTTTTCTTTTAGCTAACTAAGCTTAACTTCTTCGTAAATTAAATGTTGTTCTTTCTTATTATTAAGAAGATAGCAAGAGAAAGAAAACCCAATATATAATACAATAGTCCAAAATTCCAAGTCTGAAATCCATTTCATCTTTTTGTCAATATTTGTCCCTCTGCTGACTAACAGTCATCTCAGAGGTCTCCTGCCTTTGTCTCCCTGAACCTGAATTGATCTCCTATCCTCCTCTTTTATATATAATCCATCTTTTCCTTTCTCCATATGCTGTTCCTATGCGGCCGGTCTGCACCTAGCAAAAATAAAATAAAAAAGAATAAGAAATTAATATAGACTTCTAAACGTAGCTTTAATTAGCTCTCCAAGCAAAAAAGTCCAAACTCCAGAGGTGGAAAAAAAAAGCCCTGACATGGCTAAAATCTCCTACACCCACCCTATCTCCTTGCCTTTCCTTCATTGATATCTCTAATCACCCCCCACGACAAACCTAAGAACCATAAGGTTCATCACCTGACACTTGTACTCCTTGCTGTCTCCCCTCAGTCTCCCTCTCACCCACTGGTTTCTGCTCAAACCAAACCATCTTCGAACTTGTAAGCCCTAGATAATTTGTTGCGCTTGAATAACACTATGGTGATTGGTGGTGACTTGAGGCGAGCACCCGAGGACTAAGGACTAGAACCTTACAAAATTAATTAGTAGCTAAGAGCCTAAGAGTGTTGGCACTATTTTGTAGATGATGCATGGAAGTAATAGGTGAACCCACACCCACCATTCCCTTTCTTTTTCATTGGCTCATTTAGTAGACAAAGTTGGACCCTCAAAAACCCATTGGCGGCCTCCTCGACCATTCCTCTCAGATGTCTCATCCAATCATGTTGAATTGTATTGGGCATACAGGCTGCAGCCCATTTCATGTGTGAGCCCATGTTACAGTACTCCTCCTCCTTGTGGCTTTTGTGTAATAGAACATACAAGTATACAAGAGAGAGCTGGCTGGGCTCTGGTACCATCATTCTCATTCAGAGGAGAGAATGTCTATCTTTTTAACATAATCTGTGGCTCACACACTTTAATGGAGGTATTTAAACCACGTCGACTTTAGTCTCTTAATAAATAAGGGCACGTTGCTTTCATGTGGATTCCTGTTCAGGATGTTGTCCCCAATAATCCACCAGCAATCATATGCCACGTGGATCCATCATGAGCATTTTTGGGTTTCTAACCTTTGCCTACTTTTAGAGAACATAAACTAGGTTTTAGCTACAGTAAGTAGGGTCGATCTAGCCCGTGCAAGGGTTAACTTTGAGTGGGCCGTGTCTGTCTGAAACCAATAAAGCTAAAATTTATTTATTATTATTATGAGTTTATCACAATAATAATTGTACTGATAACAATGATAATAGCTAGCTCCCATGTCCCATCTTTTAGTGCACTCTATTATATATATATATATATATATATATATATATATATATATATTATGTGAACCAATCACATAAGAGTGGGCAGTGGGCTGGCGAAGCAAATCCTTTTCTTCTTCTTTTTTGGGCCCTCTCTTTGGGCTAGGCTATATTTAGAGGACCACTGGGTCCACTGCTAAAATTGGAGATGTGGTTATGACCGGTTACATTAGTTATGCTTCGTTCCTCCTTCACTGAATAATTAGAGAAGAAGCTCTGTCATCTGTGTAAAAGGATGACAAAAGTTTAAGATACAATATCATCTTTCACTTTTTTCTTGCATTTTGTTTATGGAAATGGAACAATCCAATCCAAAGTGGACGGGAAAAAGGTGCTTCACATATAGAACTTCAATACGAAAGTAAATTTGTTTTCCAATTTTTTATTGACTCAGTTTAGAAAGAGTACAAATACAAATTTGTAGAGTGCAAATCCTGTATTTTGTATTATTTTATATATATTTACATTATACACATCTTTCCAAACTGAGCCTTAGATTGAAAAGTTTCATGCTACAATCAATGAACAGTTTTCTTCTTCTGCTTCTCTTTACCACTTATATTGACTGCTCTAGGAAAGTATCCAATCACAACTATACAGTTTTTTTTCTTCTATTTTTTTTTCCTTCTGTTGTAGTTGTTGATAGGCTAGCTAACACCCATCTCATCTCCATCGACTACAAAATGTTCCCTATATTGGTAATTACAAATCTAAGATAGACTAGAAAGTGAATAAGAGAACCAATTTGCATGATCACATCGGACTGGTTTCTTTAGTTTTGTTCTTGGGTAAAATGTGTAAACGTTTAAAGGTTTTGACCTATTCATTTATTAAACTGTCTGAGCTCCCTGCTCCCCAGAAAGCAGAAACAATTGATAAGTTGAAAAAGAAAGGTTATATAAATTAAGTTGGACATTGTGTTATGATCCTGTGTTTATCTCCTCTTGTTAGATGATGGAACGATCACCAGCCAACATTTTTCGTTTTTTATTCCGTCATCGGTCATTCCGTCTCCCTTGAGAGTAAATTCAAAAAGAAAAAACTCTGATTCTCTCTTTTATGTTTGGTTGGGTCATGGCCTCATGGATGAGCTTCGTTCCGATACTTATTTATCAAATCAAAGAAGATTTTATAGAAAGATAAATTATTTTCATCCATTTATCAGCAAGTCGTTGTAGTATAGTGGTGAGTATTCCCGCCTGTCACGCGGGTGACCCGGGTTCGATCCCCGGCAACGGCGTAAAAACTAATTAGTTTTAAATGTTAATTTTATTAAATTTATTAATATTCTATCAGTTCCTCTTGGGATTTGGGAAAAGGGAATAAGCCGAAGGTATGATGTTCCTTATGTTGTCCATCGCAACCACCTAGAATGCAGTCGAGATCACTTGTCTGAAAAGTCAATAACAATATGGTCAAAGCAAACTCAAAGGCTTATTGCTTTTGTGTTTTAGGTTGTGTTTGATAGCATTATCATTGTCATTTCAGACTGAAACATTTTAACTAGTGCGACTGTGTGAATGGTGTAAGTTTTAAAGGTTAGAAGAGCAACCTGTTTGATTAATGCTTAGTGTTTATAGTCTCAACAGCAATAATGATTAGGCGTTTATGGTAGATATATGTGTTTGGCATGCCCTATTTCACGATGAAGTGTTTGAAGTAAACATTTTAGTTTTATAGAACACCAATCACACTTCCAATTACTGTTATACTAATCTAATGGACAAGAATTTTCATATTTTATTTTTCTCCATTGTACAGGGGTATTATGTTTGATGATGGAAATCCAACAGCCCAAAATTCATGAAAAACATGCCCCCTTGGTCAAACAAGTGTAGCTCTAACTTACATATATAAGAAATTCTATATGGGTTCAATGAAAAGGAAGGGATAACTATCAAACAAGTTATCATGTCATTGTAAATTGGTTTACAAGCCTAAGCTTAAAGCTCTAAACCAATCAAAATTGTGAAGCAGGGTTTGAGGAATTTAATTCCCAGAAGCAATGTTTAATCTATCTTGGGTTTGAGGAATATAACTTTAACCTACTAGTGCCTGAATTATTTGAAGAACTCCAATAAGCCCAAGATGATACATGATGCACCATATCAATTCATCACCATGCCACATCAGATGATAGGCAAGTGCTATATTAGCTAAAACAATGTGAGAGACAATGGCTGTTGGGGAAACTTCAATTTAATGTTTCCTCCAACGCCTATTTTCAGACAAAACGTTTTTTGACTGTTTTGAGTTAAAAAGTCTCAATCAAATAAAAAATTCTCATTGCAATTCAAAACGCCTAAGTAGTACTAAGGTGACAGGGTTTCATCTGAAAATGGCAATGGTACCAAAAATACCCTTAGTGGGTTTTTTTTTCAGACTAGAGAAGGAGAATTTGGTCAATGGGATTTAAATTCCTATTGACCAAGAATCCCATGTTCTCCTAGGTGGTTAAATAACTTTTCCACCTAGGGGGAAAATTCCCAACACTTAAATGGGACAAAAATCCCTTTTTAATAATGGATTTTTATGGCTAAAATGGTCATTATCTTATTTACATGAGAAATAAAAGAACATGGGTAAATACACTTACCTGAATAAGTGTTTCTCAAAGAAAACTTACTCAAGTAAATAACTTACCGAACAGCGAACAGAGACTTGGTGGATAGAATATGTTTTCTATTAAGATTTTATATTTGTTTATAGAATAAGTGTTGTTCCTTCAGCTTTAGGGAACATCTCAAGTCTCAAGTCTCTAGTCCAGAATCTAGACAAGGTTAAAGAGGAGTTAATGTAGATCAAAAGCTAATTAGGAAAGGATCTTACAAATATGTAGATTTTAGCGACACTATCCAGGTACAAAAGAGCATCTCCTTGGCAACAGAACTAACAGACTTGAGGAAACTAAACATCAACTGTTTATCTGTAGTATCTGTTTGCGGGATCAGAACCTAATTCGCTAAGCTTCCCATACAGTAATTTGGGTTCCCCAGGAGATCTAATCTCATATATTTTTCTTTTTCATGCTGATAATTAACAACATTGGTTGAAGCAGAAGAAGCAACCCTTTGGCTCGTCTTCCATCTTGGCTTTTGGGGTCTCCACCAAGTCATCTCGGACAGCCATCAAAGAGCTTGTACCTGGAGACTCTGGTGGCAAGACTGCATTTTTGGAAGTGAAAATGGGAGATGGTATCATTCGCTCAGGTGGTGAAAGGGTCGAAAGATAATGTAATAGCATCTGCACAATTTGGCTAAAGTTGGGCCTGGCGTTCGGGTCCTCCTTCCAGCAGGAAGTTAGAATTAAGGCCAAATCCTCAGGGAGGTCTTCTGCACTGGGCCTCACATTCTGAAACAGAAAAAAATGACATTAATTTTCAGTCACAGAAATATCCGGACTACATAATTATTGCACTACTGCAGGGAACCGCATGACACAAGCTGGATTGGAATCCCACCTAGGTTACACATCAGGCCAAAATTTGTACCCAATTGAAGGAGCTCATTATATCTATAGGATTTCCAAGGTCATTGATGATTAGGATCACCCCAATCATCAGTCAGGTTGGTAGATATCCTAGATCATCCTCCAATCAAGACCACAGCATTGTATGTTCCACGCTTGTGCAGTTATGGTTCCTCACTTACGCATTACCCTTTACAAAGTAACTAACTAAATAGAAAGAAACACACTTTAAAAGCAGCTGCATAGGCTGCCTGCAGGTTCGACATCCCTTCAAATGGCAACCGATTGTGCAAGAGTTCCCATAACACAATTGCAAAGCTGTAGGCATCAACTTTGTGGTTATAATGCTTCTTCTCTCCATGCCTCAATGTGACTGTGCTGTATAACTGCATCAAATAAGATAGTCACTAAAACTGTCAAATAGTCATTGCAAAAGGATCCAAAAAAGAGGTTTTAAAAGAATCTTACCTCCGGGGCCATCCAGCGGTATGTGCCCGTCTCAGCAGTCATCATCTCTGTTAGTGACTCTTCTCTTGCTAAACCAAAGTCCGCCAGTTTCACTGTTTTGTGGTCTTCAGTCAATATCAAGTTTTCTGGGGAAAAATTAAATCCAATTATCACCACCTTTTTCCTCAACTACATGAAATATCATTCTCATTCCAAGGGTGGACAATGTAAATTCCTGAAGAGAGTATCTTGACATAACATGAAAGGAACATCATGATGTAGATTGCAATCCAAGTTAAAACATAAAGATGTTAACACTTTTGCACAAAAGAATTAAATACATGGTCATTTTAACCCAAAAAAGAAATATTTATCTGGCATACTTAACCAGCAACATATTATTTTTAAGATGACAAAAAAGGCATTGTTGCAGAGAAGCATTCTTGGCCTTGAGAACCACCAGACACTCCATAAAGATTGAGAAGTGCAAGTTCTCATTAATAAAAACACTTTATGTTAGACCAATTACATCTTTCCACCAGAATTACAATTAGTAGGGTACATCATACATTTAGGTGCAATCCACCACTTAGTCCGTGTCTTCATTTGTTAACGAGTCCTCAAGGTGTCTCAAGGAGATTAAAAAATATAAAGATAATAAATATACAGAGGAACTTAAAGTTTCAGCATTTTAAAACTGATATGCAAGATCTGTCCTATTTACTATTGTTATTCCTTTAACTATAGGGGTAAAATAATACACAGACAGAATGAAATCACTCATTCACTTCCAAATCTAGATTTTCCTTGTCAAAGCAAGAAACTGCAGATTCTCAACTCATCCAAAGCCATATTGATATTATTCCAAACTAACTTGGGGAGTTACCTTACTCTATTAATCAGGCATTTTAGAACAAGTATACACTATACCCTAATTGATTTGGATAAAGTATATACATGATTTGACTCATTCAGAGTCTGAGGTAGATGTTACCTTTCATCATTCACCAACAGATGTGCCATTATGAAGCATTGACCTGTCTGAAACAGAATCAGTCCAATTATCTACATATAAACTTGATAGGGTTATGTGTATCACAACTAGGTTTTCAGGTCCACCATACCTCAGGTATGAGTTTGCATTTCCATGGCTAATTCAGTGTTAAAATTTGCACAGTGGCATCCAAAATTCAATGCATGGCAAGTTGAACCACGTGGTGAATCGCCAACAGATCACAAACACATGGCACAGAAAACCATACAAAATGTAATTCTAGGAATGAATTAGATGAGATTCTGCTCATTGTGCTGATGCTAATATGCCACTGATTTACAGTAGACCTAAATGAGTCCGACATGACTTAAGGAGGTACAATTTGTATTATCTGATATGTTAAATTTTGGTAATGGGATTTTTCATATGTCAGGAATTTTTGCAGGGACGTTCATTGTGTTTGAATTTGAATATTCCCTTATAAGGAGATTCACTGCAAAGAAAATTGAAATACAAAGTGATTCATAGGCTAGGCCAACCGGTAAGCCATCAGCAGAATAAATATGACCTATTACAGGAAAAGCATCCGAAAATCTTTTATGTGAAATTATCATGGGAATTTATACAGTTCTGTGAAACATAATTAAGAGGTAACAATTTCTCTTTTTCTTTCCTATTGGGGAGAGAGATTAATCTTATATGTTAAAAGTGCATTAAGGACCTAGGATTAGCTTTATTCAAATTTGTCCTTAGCCTCAGCATTGGCACCATTGATATGGGTGTTTTGCCCCTTAGAGCAACAATACCAACATATATTGGTCCAAAAAGCACAGTTCCATGGACAACCATAAAAAACAATGAGTTGAAGTTACAATCTCCAGAGATTGATGGAATTCACTGGATCTCAGGGAATTGGATAATTGATTACATCATTCAGGTGGAACAGAAAGAGAAAAGTGCTTTCTATGGGTTTCATAATGCATATAAAAATGAAGAATCAACACAAAATTGACATAGGCACTGGCTAGCACTCCAAACCAGTATTCTCTTTAAAATCCAAGCTTGAAATTCCAGCAGTACAGATATAGTTTCTTTTCATAGAATGCATAGACAAATCCTCCTTTCTGGTGCTTAGCTGGCTATTCCATCTTACAGTATGGTGGCAAAAATAAGTCAAAGAGCTACTCCATCTTGAGGGAATGCAAAATATCACAAAAAGGTAATACTGAATGACTAATATAGGAAGAAGGGAGCCCAAATGGGAGTTAAGTTGGAGCACTGTCCTCTCCCCTTAAAAGCATTCCTTATAAATCCTTGTAGAGTGACAACAATGTATCAAAATTAAAACCTTTCACAGTGAATTAAAAATGCAATTTAGGTCTGGAATGTTGCAGGGCACTTCAGGAGTTCAGGTGATACAAACGTTGCAAGAATTGGAGTACAACAGACCATTATAAGAGCTAGTTTATACTACATTAAACTACATGAATTGAAACACATCTCTGCTGCAAAAACAGCATATTTCCTTTTCACTCTGAAATCTATCCCATCCTTGTCACATATATTAATTTAGTCAATCCTTCCAGATTACTTTCTGCACAGGCTCCGAAGAATCTTCAATCATCAATAATGGCAGGTGCTTGGAAAGAAAAGTATCTGATTAAGGTGTTAAAGTTGACAAAAACCAAAATATGTGGTGATAATCTCAAAAACATCCAAGTTTTCGTCCTTGTGTGGCCTTTCATCATATGCCTCATGTAGTGATTTCTGGCAATTCAGTTTGGCCATTTCCTCAATAACCCACTTATGGTGAATGCATGTCTCAAACCTCCATGTTGGTTGCAGATCAACCACAAGGAAGAGTCATCATCCACAATAATCTGTCTGCATCAAGAAAGGCTTGTTTTACTCTTCTGTTTTGAGCATCTCCAATTTGTTTCAACATGAAATGACTTTTGCCTATTTTTATAAGCATACAAGAAAAACCAGTGCCTTCTTTCAATATTATCATTTCAACCTTAACAATAGAATCCTTGAAACATCCTCTTCCAACTCAATCATCAACTTCCGTATAACAGTTAACTCATAGCACAAGAAGCCCTAAAAAAGCACCTAGTTAAGTTCTGAAAGTTCTAAACATGCACTTAATAAATTGAAGGTAGGATTCAAAGTGATACCAAGTTTATCTTCTTTCAATAAGGCTCCTGGGATTCACAAACAGCTAAAATTCCAGCATACAGTTTTTGGAATGCCTACAATGCTGTTTAGTAGCTCAGTCTTTAACATAGCTTCTTGAATGCAAAAGCATTCTGCCATCAAGTTGAAAGATTTAACTTGTTAAGTGGTAAAGATTAGTAGATCACTAACTTAAAAGAAAGCAATTTCAACTAGTATAGACAGTGGTGTACCTCCACTGTCCAATCTTATCCGATATTCTCCATTTAAGGGTAAAAGTAGAATTCAAAGATTGAGGTGTCAGAGTCAGTTGGTAATTAGCGTAAACATAATTTCAGGTAAAGAAAGGGCAAAGTTAAAATCAGGTGAACAATAAAAATAGTGGTCAGAAGTGTCAAGAAGTTAACTAGGGCATCTGTATTTCAGTATTTGAGCAACATAACAGAGAACAGGCCATTACCCAATGTTGGTCCCAACTATCTGGGATCTCAGGAGGGATGCACTGGAAATGGACCTAACTTTTTTTTTTTTTTGCACAAATGGCCAATCTTAGACTGGAAGTTGAAAAGGCATTCTAAGGCTTTGTCGACCCAACATTTTAGCACTACACTAGCAATGGCCCCTATTTGAGCAACAAAACAGTAACACAAAAAATAAAAGAAGTTACAATACTTAGATCAGAACAATCTAAATACTTTCGGAACATGTTTATGAAGATTCAGAGTTTGTAGACTCTGGAGGAAATGAAAACTAGTACAGAATTTCCAAGTAAACTCTGTGTAGAAGAACCTGCAACAAAAATAACACATAGCGCAATGACACACCCAAGATTGATCCTCAGTCTATGTAGTAAAGGAGTACAACTATAATACTAATTGTAAACAAGTTTGAGATTGTTCTTCTACTCACAAACTATATCAATCTGGGTCCAAAAGAACCAAAAAATATCCCCAAGTAATGAAAGCAATCTAGGTCCTGGGTCCAGCAAGTGTAGAATTACTGAGTTCCTGATCCGTTATGTATTCTGGGGCACATAAGCTCCCATAAATGATAATGATCCAACCAGGTTAAATGAAGATAAGAGGATTACCAGGTTTTAGATCTCGATGGATGATCCCATGAGAATGCAAACACTCCATTGCGCGAGCAATATCAAGTGCAAAACCAATGGCAACACGTCTGTCCAAGCATCTGGGCCGCATGTTCAGCAAGTATTTTCGTAATGAACCACCCAACAAAAGCTCAGTCACTACTACCATGACAGGCTCCTTACATGCCCCTATAAACTGTCAATACACAATAAGAACAACTGGATAACATCCATCTTTTTTATAGCAAATATAAAAATTTCCATACGAAGCAATTAATATACCCTAGCCAGAACTAGATAAACCTTGACATAGAGCAATATAAAATTATTATCTAATAATTGTCAGCAGCAGGCTATTCGTAAAAACTAATTAAAAAATAATATTACCTTTACTAAATTTTTGTGTTGAACTCTAGATAACATTGCAACCTCTCTTGCAAATCTCGCTTCTCTCTTAGCAATCTCCTCGGGAGTTTCTCCTCTATGAACAATTTTAACAGCAACAGTCTGGTTTTTGTATCTAAGGAAAAGCCAGCAGACTGACCATGAGATAGGTGCAAGACAACTAGAAAATAGTTCTTTAAAGAAACCATAAGCATTTACTTTATAGGTTCGTGTTTGCAAGTTTCTGGATTTCGATTAACATTTTTAATGGGCGTTGATGCTTAAGGCAATAATCTTGATTAGACAGACAAACTTGAAGAATTTACGAGTCTGAATTTCCCAAAAATCCCCCCCCCCCAAAAAAAAAAAAGAAACTTGGTCAGATTCAGCATCTGAACCAGAGCTATTCAGTAATCTGCATTGAACACCGAGGACTTCCATATTCTGAAAGAGGCAGCCCTACCATTCCTTACGAAGAAAAAAAAATGAAAAAGAAAAGGAGGTTATGAATCTGAACAATTAATTTCTTTGTAAAAGTTCAGAAGTAAAAAAAAGTGAGGATTTGTCAAATCTAAAGGGGTGTTTCCAATCAAAGGTAGAAATTGCTCATAAAAGCAGAATTATGGTTTTCCAGACAATAAAAAAGAAAATTGAACAGTAATAGAAGTAAAGTCACAAAGCATGAAGATCAAAATTCACCTTTTTTTGGATATCAAAATTCACTTAGAAAGGAGAAAAAGAACAAAGAAACCTTGCTGACTTACTTTCCTTCGTATACTTTGGCATGAGCTCCTTCTCCAATCCTCGGCCCAACAAAGAGATGTTTCGGATCGATCAGCCACTTGGCATCCAACCGGAACTCGTCGACTGCATAGAATCCATTACTAGATTCCATTTATCTAATATAAGAAACAATCTACCTTCTATCTAGCAACAGGCAATGGGTCCTTGTACTCATCACTTATTTATAGTAAAAAGAGATCAAAAACCACACTAAAAGTTCCTTTTACTTGGATAAGCTGACATGAAACAGAGAGCCGTAAAAAACATACTCCGCTCTGCTCTCATGAGTCATGACTGAGTTTCCCAACATAACTTCAACTCAAAGATCAGGCACGAGGATCAAAACAAGCAGATGGGAGGCAAAGAATATAAACCCACAAGTCTCAGAAGGCAGAAATATCACCCCAACAACCAATCGAGATAAGATGCAAAAGTTAATCCGAAACCCAACGAGTAATCAGAAACATATCACAGAAATTTCCATTGGGAATAGAACAGATCCCCCTGAAATGGAACAGGGGAGGAGAACCAATCAATGAATACTCTAAAGAAGATAATGATCTTCCTTAAATCTCACCAACCCAGATTGAAGTTTTGTTTGATGGGCAGTGGGTCGTGTTTATTTTAATCTTAATCATGTGTATAAAACCCCTCTCGATCTGCAGACAAAACCATGGAAGGAATTGAGTCTCTGTCAACAAAAACAAATAAATAAGTAAATATGCATATGTATGTATATACTATTTTTTTTTCGTATGAAAGAAAGAGAGGAAAGGTAGATACATTTAAAAATACATTTTTTTTCTTCTTTTTTAAAGTAAAGAAAAGAAAGTGTGAAGCAAAAACTATTCTAAGTGCACATGCAAGCAACAAAAAACCTACTGTGGCATATTAACCTCATAGAATAGAAAATTAGAAATTGCCTTATCGACACAAGAGTACAACCACCCCACCAAAGAAGAAGAACCGTTTACTGTTCAGCATCGGCTATCGGGTGCTTTATATTTCACCGTATAACTCATGAGTGTGAAAGCAGTAATGGACTTTTGATCGGACAGGTGGATTAAATAGAGATGAGAACGCGGGAGCCATTTTCCTACCGGAGTTGGGATCGTCTGTCCTCTCATTCAGGGAGAGACACCTGTCCCTCAACACCACCTACGTTTTCCCTCATATTACATTTTGACATTTTCTCTCTCCTCCTCCCCCGACCCTAACCTAGGACGTTAGGGCTGCGGGGTTGAAAATTCAATATTTTAGGGTTGAAAAATATTAACCTATTTTAACTTCGCTTTGGATTTGGGCAATAGGGTTGTGGTCTTGGCCACTTCCCTTCTTTCAACACAAATATTGCCTTAATCTCATATTTGTATGTATAAATAGTACATATGTGCAATTATATATGTATGTTAATATTAATTATTTGTATTTTTTTAAGATACTTGTTATTAGCTTTATGGTCATTATAAAAGGTAAATAGTTAAATTCAAGGGTGGTCATCTATTCAAACAATCTCTATAGTTTTATGAATTTACTAAAACCTATCTTATAGTTTTTGTTTTACTAAAACATCCTCTATAGTTCACAATCAATTTATTTAATTGGCCTTCTATTAAGAAAATGACAGTTTTATTAATTATTATTAACATCCATAGAGAAATTTAATCCAAAGAAACTAAAAATAAAAAATAAAAAATCATTTTTCTCCTAGTAAAACATGAACAACCACTCTATTTTTTCCTAGTTGGCCAATTTTATTTTCTATACAAAAAAGTATTAGGGGTACTTTTGGAATAAACTACCATGAATCCATGCCTTTAAATATTTTGCTCTCAGTTTATGTGATCATATTACTATTTTCATATGGCAAAACAATGAATTCTTAAGGAAAGGTCAATTAAGTAAATAGGTTACAAATTATAAAGGATGTTTTAGTAAAACACAAACTATAGGATATGTTTAAATAAATCTGTAAAACTATAGGGGGTATTCTAGTAAATGACCCTAAATTCAACTATATATATATAGCCAAAAATAAGATCATTTTCCAAGAATGAAGTAGAAAAGTCAAGAAACCCAAAAACTTTAGGTTGGATTCAACAATTTGGATTAGATTATGGTTGACTTCAAGCCAACCTGACTTATACCCCTTATTGCAATCCATCCTTCCCTTTACCTCTCACCCCTTACTGGTCCAGCCCTCTAAAAAAAGAGGAAATGTGAAGAAAAAAAAAAGTGTTTTTTGGTGAATATCAACCTTCTGCAACATTTTGCCATTGATTTTTTCTTTTTGGTCATGAAAAAAAAAAAAAAAAAAACAGCAACCATAATAGAACGGTAAGAGTTAAATGAGACAAGGAGATAAAAGGAGTTCCTAAACCGTGAGTCTCCTTAATTGCTTCTACGTTGGTACACTTCTTTGTTTGGTGGCCAAGGAGTTTGTCTTCTCATACTCGGTCTCACGTTCACACCTCCTACCCTCTAAATCTCTTATCTTTATATATTACATAATCAAGGAAAAGTGCTCCTCTGACCTCAGCCTCTCTCTCTCGTCTTTCCAAGGAGGCCAACGCTGTTTGGTTCACTTTTACTCTCTTCTTTTTATTCAGAAACCTTGCCATGGAAATTACTTTTTGGTGATCATGGGTTCGGCTTGGCAAAGCCCATCCAAATAGCCTTTTATTGCGTTGCATTGAGGATATTTTTTTACTTGTGTGGTTTATTTCTTAGAAAGATATTCTCAATGCAAGGTTGCAAAAGCCTATTAGAATGGCTGGACACATGTTTGTTCTGATAGAAGCTGATGAAGGAAGATTTGGCCCGACCTTGCAAATCACGCCACGTGGCAAAAAACAAGTAGCTCGGCACTTAAAACAGCGTACCGAGGGTACAATCACCAAAGGGAAGAGACCAGCGGTCCGAACTCCCTACTTGGAGCTCGAACCCCCTATGAGGTACCTGAACTCCCTACTTAGAGCTCGAACCCCCTACGGGGTACCCGAACTCCCTACAAGGGACCCGGACTCCCTACTTGGAGCTCGAACACCCTACGAGGTGCCCGAACTCCCTACTTGGAGCTCGAACCCCCTACGAGGTGCCCGAACTCTCCCTTTGACCCCGAGTCACACAAAACAGAGACCTGAACTGGCCCGTCTTATGACAGTTTGGGACCCCCCCCTATCCAAACTCAAGACTTCGCCTCACGCACCGCTCCAGGTGCTTCGCTTCCAGAGCATTGAACTGGACGAACCACACCGTACCTGACACCGAAGGAGTCCGTATCCAGGGGCGGCGCACCTAACTAACTTGGGATCTAACGCTTGACGGCCGCACTTCAAACGGCCACCTACCACCGTCACCTGCCACCGCCACCTCCAGTTACAGTGATGGCTCCGACAAAAAGAGCAGTGACGGTTCTGCCCCATCAGAGGCAATGACGCTCGAACCGGCAGAAGCACGGAAATAATCATTCCCGACCTGACAGAAGTCTAGGAGTGAGTGCGCGAGGTGGTTATAAAAGGCTCTCCACTCCCCCAAAGAGGAGGTATGCAAACTTTGCGCTATCTGGTTTTATCTTGCCTTTGAAGGATTTTGACTTAAGCTTCAGAGCCTTTACACCGGGTTCTCCCCGGAGCTTCCTCATCTCCTCCGTTTCAGGTTCCCTGCTACTCAGTTCAGAGACAAGGTCATTGACAACTAAGACCTGCCAGATTGCGCATCATCAATTGGCGCCGTCTGTGGGAAAGCTTCAAAAAGCCTCCCTCCAAACTCTCATAACCCCTTTTCTTCTTCAAAAAACCCAACACTCATGGCCTCTTCCAGCAACGCCGGACGTGGCGCGGAGACAAACACCACCGGGGAACAACTTCAAGTTCCCGTGGTGTGCATTGGATAGTTCACCATCCCCCTTTCGGTGGATGGGATCCCCAGCTTGAATGCGCCACAAGCAGTGGCGCCCGTAAACCTTCCTACCACAAGCATCCCCTTTCCTCCCCCTATTGAGACAACTTTTACTGAACCGACTGCCGTCCCCCTGGCAGCAAGCCAAAACCGGTTGGACGACCTGATGCAGTGCGTGCGGGCAATGCAAGCCCAAAAGCAACAATTCCAGCAGCACCAGCTTCACCAACACCAAGTACTGCACAACATTTCCCAGTATCACTATCAACAGCAGTTCCCCCAACTGCCGCTGAATCAGCCCCAACTGCCACCTCGACACCCTGCTCCGAGACCGGTTAAGGCCTCCCCGCAAGATGGATGCCCCCACCAAGGAAAGGCCTCTCGGCCCCAGAACCCCCCTAATAGCCAGGCCTCGTCTCCAGGCCAAAGAGAGTTCGGGCAGCTCGCAGAGAGAAAAATAATCCCCGCCTCGCAGCTCGCAGGCGGGTCGGGAACCTCACCCGCAAGATCGGCACCTCGGCGCTCCAAGCCCGAGTTCCCACTCACAGAAAATCGATTCGGCGCCCTGGCAGCAGCAGACTACCAGCATTCCGGCCCTATTGAGCTCGGCAACACGGAGGCCAGCAGCGCCAGTACAAGGTCCACTCAACAACGAAGTCGCCGAACCGCCACCCGTGTCTTGTCAAAGCTCAGAGGCAAAGAAGAGACGAGCTCGGACAAGGTAGGAGCTGCCCCGATTCTCTCAGTTCCTTCCCCCCTCGCATCAGAACTCCTGGC